GGTGACGGCTATTCTGGTTTAGTTTTTATCGTTTTATGCCATCCGTAAAGAGATGGTTGATTAAAACGCGAGTACACCAGTTGTCCAATTGAGGAGTTTGGAGAATGTCGAAGTCGTAGTCCATGAGCATGGTTGTCCAGCGCTGAAGGCGATTTGCCGAGTACATAGGAATGCATTTTTCGAGCCATAAATGGCAAGAAGATGCTTGTGGTCCGAGAGAAGAGTGAAGTGATGCCCATAAAGCATATTATGAAACTTCTTCACGACGAAGATGATAGCAAGGGCTTCCTTCTCGATCTGTCCATAGTTGCGTTCAGCATTACAAATGCGTGTTGCATTACAAATAGTCTTCTTTCTGTTGTCGGAAAAAAATTTGAAATCACGGTGCCAATTTCGTAGTTGCAGGCATCTGCAGCAGCGATAATCTTTAGATCAGGGTTGAAAGGCGTCAACAGCAAGCCAGAGCCCAACACTGATTTCACTCCTTCAAACATTTGTTGACACTGTCGCGACGAGGACCACTTGACACCTTTCTTGGGCAGTTCATTCACTGGATGACGTAGGCGGTGTATTTCCGGAAGGAACGAGCTGTAGCAACTCATAAGTCCCAAGAAGGCGCGCAAGGCATTTACGTCTTTTGGTGGTGACATCTGCTTGAGGGTGTTCATGTTGTCTGGATCTGGTAGATTATGAACCCGAGATATTTCACAGATGGCACGAAAAAATGCACTTCTCCAGACGTAGACAGAAAACATAGTCCTGAATCCGGCTGGGTACTCTCTCCAAGAGGGGCAAAAGGTCATCTGAATTTGAAGCAGTGACGATGATATCATCCACATAAACAGTGGCTCCTGCAGTGCCGTCAGCATGGTTTCCATGGTTTGCTGGAAGATGGCTGGAGCCGTCCTTACGCCTAATGGCATACGGGTGAATTGTAGGAGACCACAATAGGTGTGAATGTTTAGAATCTCCCGTGAGTCCTCTTCCACCTCAATTTGGAGGTATGCATCGGATCGATCCAGCATATCGAAACAAGTTTCACCATTCAGATTAGCAAAAAGATCTTCCGGCACATGCAGAGGATACTGATGTGCGTCCGAAGCAACACTGAGACCAGTGGAAAAGTCAACACAGATTTGGATTTTACCTGTGGTTTTCTTGACAGCCACAATTGGTGCGGCTCTTGCCGAGCAATTATCTGGCTTAATAACACCATCTCGTTGAAGACGATCACTGTTAGTGCATCACAAGGAACTGGTCTTTGTCGTCCGAAGACAGGTTTTGCGTTTGTTGGAAGTTATAGAGTGACCTTCATCTTGTTGCAGCAGCTAAGACCGTTTTGAAAACTGAAACAAACGTCGCTTGTAGGGTCTACGTCAGATTTTTCACCAGTTGATTCGATTTGGCCGAGACATTTCTGTATTTCTGCTTCTTGGAGTGGGATTCTGTTTAGATGGTAGGGTCACACATCAGGGATCGGATTTCGATTTCCCAAGCCCAACAGAATGCATTTGTTCGAATTGAAGGACAGCAGCCATCCATGTGACCAATAGTTTAATCGACAAAGATTTTCCTGGTAGTTATCTTCATCGGCAGCAGCATCTTCCATATTTTTACATCATCTGCAAGCATGGCACACTCGCAGTCTAATTCCTGTACACAATCATTAACGAACAAGAGA